CTACCGGTAAAGCAGGGTAATAAGGCCGCTCTGGGGGCCACCTACAGATGGCGGATGTGACATCATCAGCAGGGTGTGCACATGTGGTCTGGGCTTGGTGCGCACATGTGGCCTGGGCTGCAGCGGAGAGGCTCATGGTGTCTGGGGTAATTTAGGCCCCTGGACCTCAGACAGCAGTGACAAGGAGGAGCCTGAGCTGTTCCCATCTCTCTCTCTCCCTCCCCTGGGGATGATGAACCCCTTATTCAGCCCCCTCCCAGGACCAGGGAGCCCCCTCTTGCCATGTTCTGTCCCCAGGTGGCCACGTGGTATGTTTTCACCCTCTGATTTTCCATTTTCCAGGCCAAGAAGAATGCACCAACCTCCCAAAACACTTGGTGGAGACAGCAGCCACGCAAGGTGGCATCTGCCGGCTCTGTCCCTAGTCGGGGACAGGAAGTGGGCCGGGGACTGTTACGGATCTGGAAGTCGGCAGTGCATTCACACCTCCTCTAGTCCCCTGCACACCGAATCAGACCAGAAGGATTGCTTCCTGTCTCCTGGCATCACTGCATAACCCAGGCCCAGGCGGCTCTTCTAGGGACTCCGGCTGACGTCACCACAGGCATCAGGCACCGCTGTCCCCCAGGAGGGCATCCTGCGGAGGTATCGCTGCATGAGCTTCTGGCAATGGTACCAGGCCCCACGGAGGCCTTGTCCTCCAGAGAGGGTGGGACGTGACCCTGCAGGTCACCACTTATGTGTAGGAGCATGACCAGCAGGTTAACAGAATGGGACGCGAAGTCTTTCTAGGAGACAGAGGGCCTGTGTTACTCACAGCAACCAGCAGTCTCCTGACCCAGCCTTCCCAGTCCAGGGACTATGTAACACAGTGTCTGTTCTGTGTAAATCACTGTAGATGCAGCTTAGGGGCATGGAGAGGGGGCGGGGAGGACTTTTGCAGATCCTTGACCTTGTGGGTGTAGGTGGTCAAATGCCAGTTCTTTTGGAGTAGGATCTCTTTTATTTATTTTTAATTTTTTAAAGTATTGTTATTATTTTGAAGGTAGTGAAATAGAACAAGACAGAGCATAGCCAATTGAGACAGTGCAGTGAAACTGGTACAGTGTCACAACGGGAGCTCTTTTAAAAGTCAGCTGCGTCTTCAGCATGGAGAACTCAGCCGTGGCGCTGGGCTCTGGCCAGTTTTCCTGCTCTAACTCAAAGATGAAGTTTGTTTTCTATTCTGGTCAGACTCAGCAGTCCTGGGCCCAGCGGCTTTGACCCGTCTGCCGCCTTCCCGGGAAAAGTAGGGCAGCCGGGCAGGATCATGGTGGCTTGATGACCCCAGTCACCGGCTGAGCCCGAGTCACACTTTCCTTGGAGAAAGCAGACGCAGCCCAGGGGCTCGCTTTCCCTGTCCTGCAGGCTTAGTCTAGGCCTCTCCAAACTTCTCAGAGCGCTCTCTCCATGAAAATAAAAGTGCATGGCTGAGGACGTCCGAAATGTTCACGCCCCAGGAGGGCAACTGGCTAAAGGTGGGACAGTGTCTGAGTCTGTCTGGGGACTGTCACAAAGCACTGTGGACCAGGCTGCTTACAGACAGCAGAAATTCGTCTCTCCCGCTCGGGGTCCTGTGTAATCCATCGCAGGGTGGAAAGAGTGAGGTGCCTCCCAGGGGCACTAACAGGGCACTGTCCAGGCCCGCCCCCAACTGGCCACCTCCCAGCTTCTCCTCCCATCCCACTGAGTCCACTGCTGAGTGGAAGGTTAGCCAGGGCCTCCGGGCTCAGCTCCACCCGCGCAGATCGGGTTGTGACACGGACCTCGGCGCCTTGAGGGCAGCGATCCCCACCGCGGGCACCTGACCCAACCTCATGTCTGATGAGTGTGAGTCCTCCTCTCCCACAGGGCTGGAGCCATAAACCAGCTGGGAGTGGGGGTTTGGGGGTGGAGGCTGAGCCAGGCTGAGTCTCCAGACCTAGGGGACCCCATGGCGCTGACTCTGGGGCAGCCCCATCTGATGGGGAGAGTGGCGTCCCCCCAAGGGCCCATCCCAGGGGACTGAGCTTTGTGCTGGCCCGGACAGCTCTGCCCGTGCGTGGTGGCTGGAACCGTCCCTCCGTGGATCTGACACCTGCCCTGTGGCCTGCATGCAGGGGCCTCTGCCAAGCAGGTCCCAGGCCTCAGAGGCAGGCGTGGGAGGTGGAACTGGTGGGCGTTTCCAGGAGGCAGCGCTACTCGGGGCTTGCTGGCAAGCTCTGTAGATTGGTTCATATTCAGCGGTATTTTCCTTGGCCCATGACCAAAATGCAGAGGTGGAAGAAAACCAATTTGTTAACAGTTCTCAGGAACAAGAGGCCAGCTGGGGCAAACTCCCAGGGCAGAGACCCGTCTCAGGGCCGAGCTGCTGCCTCTCTTCCTGCCAGGGGGAGCTCACCCTCCTGCCCTGTGAGTCCCGTGAGGAAGAGCCACCCCCACCCGGAAGCCTCCTGCTGTCCTTCCTTTACTGCCAGCGCCCCAGGCCCGGGTGACCAGGCCACGCTGTGATCTGCTTCAGTGTCCCCTTTGATAAAGTGGTGTCCCAGCGGAGCTGGGCAGAGAGCAGGCTCCTTTTTACTGGTTGTTTTTCTAGGGTTTTATTTCTTAAAGATTTAAAAAATATAGTAGCAGTTTAGGGTTCCCAGCAAACCTGAGTGGAAAATGGAAATCTCCCACATCCTCTTGGACCCCAACACCCAGATCCTTACTATCACCCGCGTCCACCAGAGGCTCTGTCCCCCAAGCTTACCCTTGAGTCCTGCAGCCTCTGGCTTGGGGCTCCGGGAATTGCCCTGATGTCTCCGCTTCCTCTTTCCCCCTACCCTGCCCCTGGCTAACGCCTGAACTCATTCATTCCCCCCCCCCCCCGCCCCCCGTTTTTCTGAGACAGGGTCTCATGCAGTTCAGACTGGCCTTGAGCTTACTTTGTAGCCCAGGCTGGTCTCGAACTGCAACAATCCTCCTGCCTCAGGCTCCCTTGTGCTGGGATTACAGGCGTGGGCTACCGGCTTCCACAGTTTTGCATTTTGCAGAATGTCACATTTTTGGAGCCTCTTCAGATTGGCTTTTTCTTTAATAATCTGCTTTTCTGCGGGGGTCGCGCTGTACATACCAGGGCTGTACATACCATGCTCATGCTGTAGCACTAGCTGCACCCACATCTGTGTCTTTCTATGGTGTGGTAGCGACCTTCTTTTCAGCGCCTGGGCTGCTGTGTGAGGTTTGCGGGTTCCTTGACCTCAGGACCTCAGGAAGATAGCTACGCACAGAAACAGCTACGGCCACAGATGTCCGTGGGCGGGTTTCCGTGCTGAGGAGGAGCTCGAGCACGGACGGGATCCCACAGTAAAGGTGCACTGAGCTCGGTAAGAAGCTACCCCCTGGCTCCCAAGAGGCTGCAGCAAGGGTGGCACCTGTGGCCCCCCCACCTCACCGCTGCTGGCTCCGTCAGTGCCCCTGCCTAGTGCCTGCTGCTCTGTGGGCTCCCCGTGTGCCGTGTGTCGAGCTGGCGCCCAGAGTGACCCATTTCTCACAGCCGTCTGCCCGGGGTCACTGGGATCCGAATCCAGGCCTCATTCGCAGGAGCTTGTGAGGCCAGGGCTTGCCCTCTGCCCCTACCGGGCAATGCCCTCCCCAAGCCTAGGCCCAGCGGGGTGAGTCCCAGCTGTGTGCGGGGTGGTGGGTGTCGAGATGAAAGGAGGGTGGTGGGACCTGCTGGATGGCGTGGCCCAGGAGCACTGTGCTAGCTGACAGCAGCAGGAAGCTGGGCACAGCGGGAGTTCCTGGGGAGGTCGGCTGGAGCACCTAGGAGGCTGGCGGGAGCATCTCTGGAGGCCTGCAAGGGCAACCATGCCTTGTGCATTTTGACAGGATGACCACATTCCTCAGGCTTGGGTAGTCAGGCCAGGTCGGGAGCAGACACTAAGATACACTTAGAAGCAGCCATCTGTGGAAACCAGGGTGCCAGCTGTGGGGGTGCCTTCTTGCATAATTTTACTAAGAATTTTTTTTTTCTAAAATCGATGCCTAGGAGCTGCACATGGTGATTCATGGCTGTAATCCTAGCACTCAGGAGGCTGAAGCAGGAGGATCGTGGTGAGTTCAAGGCCAGCCTGGACTGCATAGTGATACCCTGTCTTTAAATTAAAACAAAACAAAACAAAACAAAACAAAACACCTAGAAACTTTGGGGCAAGTAGTTGCAAAGCGCTAAAATAAATCAAACCAGTCACAGAGGTAACCCAACAAACCTGAACCTCCTTAAGTGAGGATCCAGCTGGAAAGAAAACTTTACTAAATTTGGAACTTTGAAGCCAGGAGTGCAGGTTGCAGAGTGGTCAGTGCCCCGACGTTAACAGAAGGCAGGTTCCCCCATTTTTCTCTCTGGCACCGAGAGGCTGGGCTGGCCCCATGCATCCTCCCAGACCATTAAGCAAATGGCTAATGAGAAGCTGGCAGCAGGCCCAAGGCAGGAACCTGTGGGGAGCACTTCCCCTCCACAGAAGCCCCCGCACAAGCAGCTATTCTGGGCCCTGGCTGTTTTCCAAGTTGGTTACATGACGGTAAACAACTGGGGGTTTTGGGTGAGGGGAAGCAATGAATGAAATTTGAACCGGGTCCTTCACAAAACACAATTAAAAACACATAATGGAAGAAACCCTTATGTAGAAAACAGAGCCCTAAAGAATTGTACACAGTTAGAAAACTGTTTTCCCACTAAGCGTCTTGTTTATTCCTTGATGTCTGGAAAGACCTGAGTGGCCACATTTTTTGCGTAGCCATTGTGTTTCCCATAGATTTAGGGACTTTTATAGACTATCAATAATTATCTGACTTGAAGATAAAAATGGAAAGTGGAAAGTTCAAGAAATCACTGAGCTGTCTTGAACCTGCTGAGAAATTCAGAATGATGTCCATGCCTAAAATTTACCAAGTAAATCAACATAATCTAAAGAAGTAAATTAATCTGGAATGACAAAAGGGAAGGAAGGTTCCCATGTAACCCCATAAATTTCCTGCTCCATGCATTGGAAGTCTCTGATTTCTAATAAAATTCTCATGAGAACATAGAATTGCTCCATAAAAACCCCTGAAGTCTCCCCATGAGAACCGGCTGGTTTATAAGGGCACACGGGTTCACGGCTGCGGTTTATTTATTAAAAATTTCTCAGTAAATATATCATCGTCAGCTGGAGAGCGCCCGGCGACTGGTGAGGCCATGCTTCACCCCTGCCATCGGAGAACTAAGGCAAACAAGGGCGGGCGGGGCAGGGACTCCCTGAACCAGAGGAACCGAACTTTTCTTGTTTTTTAACCAGAGAAAGTCCTAAGCTTGTTTTACCTCTGACCGATGGGACCACCCGGGAGTTTCCCAGCTGCTCGGGGAGACTTGAATTGGGAAGTCCTGGTGCCCAGGGGCCCACCCAGGAGAGGCCAGGGCCTGGTCCCTGGGGGCAGCACAGGACTGGAGAAGGCAGAGCAGTGGGTCCTGTAGATGTGAGGGCGGCTCCGGGATTCTGATGGCTGGGGAAGCACCAACTTGCGCCTGGAGTTGCGAAGTCATGGATCTACCGAGACTCATCCCTCCCCACCTGGTGACCCTGCGGGCAGCCTGTTCGGGACCCACAAGCTGGCTGCCCTCATCTCCATTGCCCACAGACGCAGCTGCCACCATCGTCCTGGCTTTAGGGGCAAGGAATGTCCCCACAGGAGCCTGAGGGACACCTGAAGCCACCATGGCTTGTCAGGACACAGCAGGAAACTGAACCCAACTCCCCACTCTGTCCTCGTTTTTACCCTGTGTGCCAACCACCCCTACTTCCAGACCAGAGGGTGAGGAGGAACACGTACTCCGCACTGGGGTGGGTTAGGGACGCCTGGGGGAGCACAGGCCTCCGAGTCCCTGCTGTGAGCAGGTTGCCTGCCTTTTTCCTTTTCCTCCTGCCCAGCCCAGAGCCAGAGCTACGACTGTAAAACCCTTATCCAAGTAAGCCGAAGAGCCCGAGGGCATGGTGAGCTGGTGCTGAGGTCAGTGTCTGCCTTGGGGCTCCTGGATGCTTCACCCAATGACCCAAAGCGGAGAGGCTGGGTTTGGTCTGTGCCCGAGAAAGCATCATTGCAAAATTTTAAAATGCACTTCCTGTGTGTGCTGGAGATTGAACCCTCGGCCACCACACAGAGCTGCATCCTGAGACCTTTTATGTTCTGAGACAGGGTCCCACTAAGTCACTATAGCACACGCTGGGTCTGAACCTACCATCCTGCCTCAGCCTCCCGGAGTGCTGGGCTTAGAGGTTTGCACAACTGTGGCTGGCTTAGATTTGTTTTTTATTTTTCTTTTGGTCTTTTTGAGGCAGGGTCTTGCAATGCAGTTCAGGCTGGCCTTGAGTTACTTTGTAATCCAGACTGATCTCAAACTCTCAACAATCCTCCTGTTTCAGCCTCCTGAGTGCTGGGATCACAGCTGTGCACCACTCTGCCATGCAAGATTTATTTTTTAAAGCAGTTTAGGTTCACAGCAAAATTGAGCAGACTGGTAGAGACCACCTATACATCCCAGCCATTCCACCCACAGTCTGGGGGCATCTGTGACATGGTTTGCACAGAGGCTGCTGTTCTGGACAAATGCACAGTGATCTGCATGACAGTCTCTGCCTGCTGCCCTTCCTCCACCTGCTCATCCTGAGCCCCAGGCCAGCTCACTGACTGACTGACCGACCTTCTGCTGTCTGTTCTGCTGTCTGCTTATCTTGCCTAGAAGGTCAGACTTGAAGCTGTTTCAGACTGGTGCCTTCCTCCTGGGGATCTACAGCTCGGTTTGCCCCACCTGCTCGTGGCCTTCTTCTAAGCTAGGAGTAGCTTCGGCCTGCACAGAATGAAAAGCTCTTCCCAGAGCAGGGATGCACAGACCCATGGCACCCGAACCCTGTTCCTGACCCTGAAGAGTTGTGGGAGGTGACCATGGCCAGGGTAGCCAAGCTCACAGGTCCCCTGGGACCCTCAGCCCAGGCCCCTTTGATCCTGCCAAACCTGCTCAGCTCTGGAGGAGGAGTTTGCTGGGCCTCATTCATGCTGGAGCCTGGGCTATCCTTACCCCGAACACTCCAGCCGGAGCAGGCGAGGAAGCTGCTGAGAAAATGCCGTACTCAGTGCACAAGCCAAGCTTTGCACAAGTCTGGGGCTCATCTAGGTGGGCTTCTGTGCAGGCCCAGCAACCGAACCCCAGGTCTGCGTTTCAGAGAACAAAGCTGGATTCCTGTGACCCAAGAATGCAGTGAGTGCTGGGGAGGGAAGGAGCGCCACCTGGCGACCATACTGTGTCACAGGGCTCCAGGGCTCTGGGGGCCTGGGGAAGCCTCCCAGGGCAGGGACCAACAGAAGGGGACACACTCACCTCCTATGCCTCACAGGTGTCACCAGGATGATCCCTGTGATCCCCTTTGTTGCAACCTTGAATCACGGCTCAGTCACTGGAAAGTGACCAGGAGGAGAAGGCAGGCAGCCGTTTATCTCAAACCCTGGTCAGCACTGAGCCTTCAGCTGACAGTTACTGAAAATACGAGGCTGAAGTCCTGTGTGTTTTCATAACCTTACAGAGCGCGGCTCGGACCTTGTCCGCCTGACTCTTACTCAGATTAATGTGTAATTTCCTGACTGCTGGAGAAGTCGTCACTCTCTGAATCCTCAGGACGTTTGCCCTGGGCCAGAGATGGCTCGGTGTCCTCAAGGGGAGCTGCTGCACCTGGCACCCCTGAGCCCGCTGTCCTGCTGCAGTGTTGGGCATCCACCTCTCAAGACCCTGGACGGACCTCATCCCCCTGGGCCCCCAAGGCCCAGGTGCAGATGGACATCACGTGGCTGACTGTGAAATTCTCAGCCAGGCCAGGCCAGGCTGGAGCACCCGGAGGCGTGGTGCATTGCACCAGGGCCAGTAGGGCAGCAGCTCAGAGAAGCAGTCTGGGGCGAGGCCCCTTCTGCCTGGCCTTGCTTGGGGAACTGGGTGGACACTGATCACCCACACTACCCGCCTCTGCCTTTTCTGCATCGAGGGTGCTCGCCTGGGGCTTAGCACGAAGAGCACAGGGATTCGGCCACCAGTCCACAGGTCATACCCGTGCCTGGGGAGGGCGAGAGAACCTGTCCACACAGCCAGGCCCCGGACAGTGCCTTTGCTACAGGAGGGGCAGAGACTCGGTGAGCAGCCACTTGTCTGAGGCCCAGGCCAGGCTGGGGATCCCCTCATCTCCGGAAGAGAACCCCAGCTCCTTCCCAGCTTGCTCTTCCCAGAGCTCCTTTTTCCCAGGACAGGGCCCAGCACACTTCCTCAGCCCTGGCCACACTGTGGGCACAGGGACGAGAAGTGACTCCTGGCTTTTTAATCTAATGCCTCATTTTTAAAAGGAAGTAAAAGACAAAGTGTCATTTTACAGTAAGACTCCTGGGGTCCACATGATATCTTTGCTGATCTTCTTTTCCTTCCTCTCCTTTCTTTCTCCTTCTTCTCTCTGTCTCTCTCCCTACTTTTTGTGGTGTTGGGTTTTGAACCCAGGGCCTTCACACCGAGTTCCACCCCCATCCCTTTTTACATTTTGAGAGTCTCCCTCTCTCCCAGTTGCTAAGTTATCCAGGCTGTGCTTGAACTCGTAACCCTCCTGCCCCAGCCTCCTAGAGTGCTGGGGTGACAGGCGGTATCCCTATGCGTGCGCGGGGCTGGGGGGGGGGCACTGGCTGTCACTGTTTTTGTGCTCTCCTAGTTTCAGTTGAAAGGCCACACTAAGAACAAAAACCCATACAGTGCATTCTGTTTCCAGCCTCATCTTCCTCTTGCCAAACGTAAACACAGTGGAAAACCCCCGGTGGGCTGAAAAACCTGCCTGTTACTGCAGCTGGAAAGAATTGTGCTCAGCGAGGACTGAGACCACGGCCAGTGGAAAGCCTGACGGCAGCGTTGTAATTATGGTCCTGCCGTCATGCATGTCTCCCTGTGGACTTTTCCATGGTATTTTCCATGGGCGCGTTGCCCCTGGGAGATGTCAACTCCAGCTCTGGGTTACAGCTTTCACCACAGAGATGGCGGTGCCAGACAGGGGGTCAGCGGCTCTGTTGACTTTGGGGTTCAGGCTGATTTGGGAGATTCACAGGTCGGGGGCTTGGCCAGTGTGGTACGGGCGATGGGGCCTCTGGGACCTCGAATCGGCTACCACGATTTTACCCAGTGAGCAGTTCCTTCGCCGCAGACTCAGTGGCTGCCCTGGAGTAGGGGATGTGAGCAGGTCTGACCGCAGCCCTGAGCTTTATGCACTGAAATCTCCCACTCAGCCCTACACAGAACGGAGATAGAATCCAATTTGAGGTAGCACAATAATAGTCTATGTTAAAAGAGAGAAACCAGGCTGAGTTTTAAGGTAGACTCTTTCCAGGGCGTTTAGAATCCAGGGTTACTCTGCTGCTCTCAGTCCCAGAAGGGATTAAGGAAAAAGACTCAGGACGAAGTTAACCTCTTGGTGACCGAGGAGCCATGTTGCCCGCCTCTGCCGTCCAGATGCCATGGGTTCCGCCTGCCCTCCGGCCCTCTGCAGGCACGGGCAGGGCCTTTGAGGGAACTCAGGGCATCTGGGGAAGCTTTGTGCGTCTCCTTCCCCAGCCTGCAGGAGCCAGCCCAGGCCACAGCCTCTGCTCTCTATGACAGAAGATGCTGGTGCAGGAAAGGGTGGCAGAGGCTGACGTGGGGCGCAGGACTTGCCAAATCCCCAGTAGCTCTGGGTGGTTCCGGTCCCCTTTCCTGGCCCTGTGAAATCTGTTGACTTTCAGGAGTGGCTGAGCGGGCAGGAAAGCAGACCCTGAGCTGGACTAAGATGGGTAGCACAAGAGTCAGAAACCAACCAAGCTCACCGCCCTGATGGCCAGTGACCCCAGGAGCAGGCCCTGGGAGGTGGATGTTAATCCACTTTTGGATTTGTATTTTTTTTTTTTGTTTGTTTTATTTTTGCTTTTGGATTTTCCTGTGTTGAGCCTTCAGCTGTATGCACAAGGGATGAGTTGTGCTGAGTCAGGGCCGTTCTGGTGAAAGTCGACCAGGGATGGAGCCCAGCAGTACCGGCACCTGCCTGGAAAGCACAGGGTCTCGAGTTCCATTCTAGTACCAAACAAATTTATGGTAAATGTTTAAATTTTTAAAATGTGTTACAGGAAAAGACACATTGCCATCCACCTCCCTAAAATCCTCCCCTGCTTTGAAGATGTGAGTTTTCTGGCGTAAAGAGAAGCAGAAGAGAGTGAAAATGGCCATTTATTTGGGGACATGGAGAAGAGCTCACAGCCCGAAGGGTTTGGCTTTCGCCCTCTGGAGGGATGCAGCCAGGCAGAAGGTTGTGTGACCGGAAGTGGTACGTGGGGTGAGCGTTGATGACGTGTAAGGGCCTGATTGGCGTTGTCTTCGCGGGCAAACGGGAAAGTAACAATTTGGACTGAAGGGGAGGAAGGAGTGGCTGTCAGGGCAAGCGTTCTGCCTTGGCCTTCCATGTTAGACCATCACCAGAGCTGGTCAGTGATTTATACTAGGGCAAGAGCCTTTCAGAAGACACTCACCCCACCGTTCTGGCCACTTTCTGACGCGGTTCGGCGTCCTCTTTCCGCAGCATTTCTGCGAGTTTTGAGCCACATACGACGAACGCGGCTGCCCAGTGCTGCCCACTGGAAGGCGGGCAGGTCCTGGTCACTAGATCTGGGTCTGGCTTTTCCCCAAGTCAGAATAACGTGGAGGCCGCCAGCCCTATGCCAACAGCAGACTCAGGAAAGCAGCCTTGACCAGCTTGAGCATGAAGGACAGATGGGACCGCGGTGTCTCCTGAGGGGCACACTGGGGGTGACAGCGTGTGTGTCTCTTACTGTAATACATCTAAAAACACGGAGGTACTCTGCAGTTTTTGGTCCCATCTCCATTTCTTGATTTATCATCTTGGAGCCCTGAGAACTGACTTAGCTCCTCTTGCTGTGAGGAATCCTAGGACCTGAAGCCCAGTGCAGTGAAGCTCTGGCCTGGGTTCCTTGCTCCAGCCCCGCTTCCCTGGGAGGAGTGTGGTCCCTGCCCAGGCAGGTGCTAGGACCTGGGCAGGGTGGCACCATGTGGAATTCCCTGCCTGCCTGGAGGAGGACACTCCTGACCCAGCCTGGCGTGGATCTTGGGGTGAGTAGATGTTACTTTGAGCTGCTCCCCGAAGGCCCCACCCCATAGATGATGGCTGGAGCCCAGAGTCCTGTGGGTTCTTTCCCACCATGAAAGCCCTCTGTGCACCTGAGGCCATGTGGCCACCTGTAAAGACAGCAGGAGTGACCCGGTACCTAGGGATGCCCTGTGACTCTTCCTTTTGCTGGCATAGGTGGGGAGGGAGCGACTCTCCACCTGGTTCCCTGCTTCCTACAGAAGCGCCCACTGTGGAGACTGCCCAGCAGGCAGCAGGACCTGGGGGTGTATCACATAGCTTAGCCACCTGTGTGAACGGTGAGTGCGTGGAGTGGATGCATGCTGGACCACATGGGGCTGAGGCCAAGGCCCTGAGTGTCCTGGCTGTGGATGGTCTGCCCAGGACCCTGCCTCACCCTATGCCTGGAAGTGGGCGCTGCCCTCACAGCCAGGGTGACAGCTTCTGGCTCTCCAGCTTCAGGTAAGTGTGAGTGTGTGTGTGCATGTATGTGCACACCTGTGGCCAGTGAGGCACTTGGAGGACAGTGTAGGGGATGCTTCTTCCAGGACCTCGGCCCAAAAGACCCTCTGAGGCTTTGTCCTGTGGTCATCCTGGAAGCCTCAGAAGTGAATTCCTTCTGCAGTGCTTGCAGGTGCTGGCCCGCGCTGCTCACCAGCTGGTATCCATGGGAGTCCACCCTCCTGTCCCACAGTTCCCATGGTGGCGGGTTTTCCTGCCTGTGGTGGAAACAGCAGTGGTGGGAACACGTGTAGTCCAGCTTTCTGCTCTTGGGGACAAGGTACCCTTCAGGGAGGAGAGACTGGGAGGGGCTGGGGACAACCAGAGGCCAGCAGCGAGAGGAGGGGAGGCCAGGTCCCTGACTGTGTGGGTGTCATCCACTCCCAGAAGGGTTTGCCTGACTGAACTGTGAGCTTTCAAAATTCACTGCAGCGAAGGTACTTCGTCCGGCCCCTGAGGGCAGGCAGGGAAGCCCTTGTCAGGACCGTGGCCTTGTGCTCTTGTCTCACCTGTGCAAGCCTATGTGACTGTTGGCGGGGATTCAAGACTCGTCCGTTCCTACTTGCTCAGCCTTTGGATGTGCTGTCGAGGGCCGAGAGGCAGAGGTGGCAGGCTGGACTGGACATTGTGGCCGGCGGGGTGTAGTCAGATGAAGAGGCTGACCTCCTGCTTCCGCCTGCCTTTGTGGCTGCAGCCCTGAGGGCTCGGCTCCGACTTCGGGGTGGAGGTCAGGCAGGGCTGCCCCACAGCTCTCAGACCGCACCTCTGCAGGGATGCCCGAGTGTCTTCAGGAACAGGGCGGCTAAGGTTCTCACCATCCTGGCCACCTGGGGCTGCATCTGGGGGGCCTGCACTGGGAAGGAAGTGTCTGTCCAGACCCCTGCCAAGGATGGGGCTGATGTCCACCATGGTGCAGGCAAAGGGCTGGGCATCTGGCTGAGGTGAGGCCGGCTGGGCAGGACCAATCTGCTGCCCTCTCCCGGGGTGTGACACCTGGGGACTTGGAGGGCTGTCCATCTGAGGTGAGAATGTGGCTTCTTGTGTGGTGGCACTGAAGTACAGTGTCATGCTCTGCTGCCCCTCCTGCCCTCCCAGCTGCCCACCTGAACCCCTGCACTGAGTGCTGAGACCCACCTCCATCCCCTCTCCTGGGCCACCCTTGCCCTGTGATGCTGTTGGGCCCTGGGCATCTGCACTATCCTGGTGGCCGCTGGTGAGAGAGACATAACTTGAGGTTTCCAGGGAGTCTGCTTCTGCTTTGGGAGCATCTTGCAACTGGGGGCCCTCCTCCAGGGTGGAAGCATCTTGTGGGGAGGACAGGGGCGTCTGCTGTAGTTCACAGAGCTGGTTTGACCCCCATGCCACGGTAGAGCAGGCAGGCCTGTCTCCTCTGAAGGCGGCGTGGATCTTGGGCACACTTCCGGTTTTTAGAGCGAGTTTTACCAGCAGCCAGTGGTGGGGGCTGAGGGAAGGGATGTCCCCTGGACTCTGGTCCCCAAACCATAGCCCCGGGGGCCCCGGCTCTGGGCTGGGGGGCTTCTCTGGACTCGGCAGCTCGTAGCTCTCGGCGAGGTGTGAGCCTGTACTCCCTGGCCTCTCCACAGCTGGAGACTTTCCGTCTGCCGAGCCACAGCACTTTGCCACGAAGCCCTGCCGGATGTCTGGGGACTCTGGGTGTAGAAGGCTGTAATAAATGATCATCGAGATGCTGCCTGAGAGAGAAAGAGAGCACACATGATGTTCTGGGAAGCCAGGCACCCTCTTCTGGTCTGCGGGTACAGAGTCTGGCCATTCTGATGAGAACCATATAATTGGGCTCCAAATTAAGATTCCACAAGCCTGCTCTCCCGGCACTCAGGAGGCTGAGGCAGGAGGATTTCTGGGAGTTTTGAGGCCAGCATGGGTTACAAAGTGAGGTGAAGACTACCTGCACTCTACAGTGAGACCCTATTTTGGGGTGTCCCAGCGGGATCCTTGGAGGGGAGTTTAAGTAGACCTCAGGTTCTGTAAGCAGCAAGCACACGTGTCTAAGTAACAGAGTCCGTTCTTATTGATTCTGTCTTCTTCCTGCAAATTGACCCCAAGACCTGAAGCTTTGTGTGCACATGTGTGCATGCCTGTGCATATGTGAATGAGGTATTCAGCAGAAATTTCACTGCACTTTCTGTACATCTAAACTCCACATCTGCTCCCTGCCAAGGGTGTCTGGGCCGGGAGGGAAGGGGCAAGACACCCTCAAAACCATGGGCAGCAGCGTGTCGCCTGTGCTCTTCCTCAAAGCCTGCATCAAGGACTTTCCTCCAGCAGCAGCAACAACTTCCTCTGTGCATAAACAGCTTAATCACATTGTTGTCCGCCCTGGTGTTGATCAGAAGTGTTGCTGGCGCTGTAATCTCTTTAGCAGCTTCCAGTAAGCCACCCCCGCTGTTTCCAGTTTCCTGTTGCATGCAGAAGGGAAGCTCAGGGTTTAGGCAGGGTGCTTGCACAAACACCTCAAGGTCTGAAAACCCCACTGGGGAGAAACTCAGGCACCAGGAGGTAGTAGCCTGATGGAAAGGAGGAGCCCAGAGGCCCCAGCCCAGAGGTCCCCTGCTCATGGTGGGGACCAACACAGGGCAAGCCAGGGGCAGGCTGCTGGTCAGTGGCAGAGCTAGACCTGGAGCAAAGGGACAGAGTTCTGATGCCCCATGCCACCTCAGCTCAGGTACCGCATTATTTCCACCACCATTTAGGGCTGCCACAGTCCCTGGGCAAGGAAGATTGTGACCCTCACAGCAACTGCCCCTGGCTGGGTGTGGTGAAGCCATGAACCAAGTCATCTGGCTGCAAAAGTCCTGAGCTCGGTCCTGGGGCAGCACTGCCCAAGGCTGTCCCCTTCCTGGGCCCCCTGCTCATGCAGCTGGGGCTCAGTAAAGATCTGCTGAGGGAAACCAGGCAAGAGGGGACCTGGGATGGGAGTCAGAACAGCTCACAGGATTAAGTCAATATTTACCGACTTCTTTAAGCTTCATTTTTCTGTGCACCCATCCCTGATGTAAAGGACTCTCCTGGTGTCCCTTAGTGGCAGGGGAATGCTGTGGCCCACACTCCCAGGAACAGGCTCAGTCATAGGAAGGAGGCACCCTGGTGTCCATGGCCTGCCCAAGTGTTACACGGAGGGAGGAAACCGAGTCGTGGAGGTTCCAGTGTGAGTCTAGCACTCCTTAAGTGACCAGATCATGGGGCTGGTGGATGGGCCAGGTTGCAGCAGCTGAGAATGTGGTGGGGCAGGAGGGACAGGCAGCCTGGGGGCCCACATGTGGATGGGAGGCTCTCCTGCATCTGGGCTGGCTGGGCCATTGCCCCAGCGTGAAGCTGTTCTGTTCTACAGCCCTGGGGGCTGTCACTGTTGGGGAGCTGAGTAAGGGGCACAGGGAGTGCTTTCTGATATTTCCTGCAACTACAGCTCTCTCAGAAGAAGGAATTCAATTGAGAAAGAAGGGTTCAGCTGGGCCACCTGGTCTACCCAGCCATAATTCCAGATGACTAAAGGAGCAGGGAGCTCACTACCCAGGGGTCTGTGCTTGAGTATTGTCATAGGCCAGTCTGTGAGTTTCCTCCCCCATACCCAGCCCCATGCCTCTAGAGCTTTGAGCTCAGGTGGTTACTCTGCCCACCTCTCCGCTGCACCCAGACCCTGACACATGCTCCTCCAGGTGAGACTGGGGTAGCAGGTGGCTGGAGAGGGTGTTGTTTGTGGACAGGAGCTCAGGGCTCAGGGTGGCTGCAGATGCCTGTAGTTCTCCATGCTGGTTCTGCATGGGATGAGCTGGCTGCTCCAGGACAGCTCCTGCAGGCCCAAGAGGGCTGAGGCATGAGTGTGGTGTGGGGTAGAGGCCACTGGCCTTGAGTTCAGGTGCAGGAGAGGAGGCCCGCTGAGCTCACAGGGCCTGGGAGGCGTCACCACTGTGGGACAGCATGGTCTACAGACTTGACTGGTCCTCATGTGATACCAGTGTCCCAGCTCTGCCACCTAGTGGGCGTCCCACCTTCGACCGAGCAGCTGGTGCAGCCTCGAGGAAGGTTCTGCGGTCCAGGTGGTCATGCTGCTGAGCTTGGTTCCCCTGCCCTGGGAGGTCACCTTCCTCCAGCAGCACACTAGTGCAGTCTCCCGTCCTTCCCATCCACTCTAGAACACAAATCAGGGAGGAGGCTCGGAGGAGAAAGCATGCTGGGTCTTACCAATCAGAAATCCAGACAGCACCCCTACTATCGTGCACATTCCGATCCACGAAAGCCACTGGGCAGAGTCTGTGGCCAACAGCAAAAGGATGATGTTTTCCAGCAGCATGACCTGTGGGGCCAGGGAGAGACACAGCAGCGGTCAGGGGTGGTGGCTGGGAGCTTCCTGTTCTGGTCTGCAGCAGCTCCCTGTTATCTGTGTCTACTGCAGCTTCCTAGGTGCAGGGCCACTGCTGGCCCCAAGGCCTCTACAAGGGACATTTTCCCCTGTTGCAGCCTGTTAGAATGCTGGCAGCATCACTGAGACATGGTGCACACGTGGTGCACCTGCGCCCTGTGCCCTGGTGGCGCCCCGTGCCCTGGTGGCACCCCCTGGGGCTCAGGCTGGACTGCATGGAGACAGAGCAGTGTCCACCCTCATGGGGACACAGGCATGGGTCACTGGCACAGCGCAGTGATTAAAGCCATCATGGAGCTCCTGAGCTCCAGGAAGCCGGGCTCACAGACCTTCCTGCACCTTTAGAATTTTTGTCTATAAATATTTTCCTCTTTAAATCTGCTTGTGACCCCTCAGTGGCAGCAGGGAAGGTGATTCCGAGGGGCTCAAAACAGAGCCGTGTGGTTGGTCCAAAATTGGTTTTTTGAGAATGTCACCCCTGAGACCCTGCTCCTCCATCCAGGCTGCCTGTTCACTTGGCTTCCAATTCTTAAACCTAAGAGTCTGTCTTATATTAAAACAAGTAAACAAACAGGACAGAATCCAAAGACCAGATAGATGATGCCTGACCTGTGAGGACACTGCCCTCCCCATGCATCCACTGGAAACAGAAAACATCCTTAAAGATAAAAGAAAGTCGGGAACACTGAGCTCCCAGACACCGAGGCCTGGCCGGGCTTGCCATAGACAGCCCTCTGTGTGAGATGGTGAGGACACCGTATGCAGTCATTGAACCTGGCCTGAAAGTGAGACTCAGAATGGCTCGTACCCTTTGTACACCACAAAGGTGAAGATCATAACTTAGATATTGTGTAGGAAACAATATATATATATAATACTGGCATGCTGAGAGTCCCCCAAAGTTTTCCCATGGCGGTCCACCAGAGGCATCTAAGTCTAGAAGATACAAAAAAGGAATAACTAAAACCTTACGAGGAGCTATTGTTCTCAAGCCCTAAGAAGGGGCAGGAAATGCCAGCAAGGAGCCTTCTGGGGAGGAAGGTGTTATACAAGCATGGCGCGTGCCCATGGAAGGGTAGCTCCCTCCAAAGCTCCTGCGTTTCCCGTTTGTTGAGCAAATCCATTAAAACTCAGAGCTGCTTCAAGCCACCAGGCCCCTCTGCCTTTAGATTAAAGATAAAACAAGCAAGCTGTGGTACCACTTCTTTTGACAGCAAAATATAATTTACTCTTAAGGAGTGGGGGACAGAAATGTCATCCCTGGCAGGGCAGGGTGACCTGGAAGGGCCCTGAGTGAGGGCTGCTGGGGAGGGGAGGGTGTGGCACTGCTGGTTTGGGAGCCTCCCTGCAGGGCAGGACAGGGTGAGCTGCTGGGCCTCGCCACCCGAGGGTCCCCAGTGCCAGACCGTCCCCCAGAGCCCCACATTCCCCTGCCAGGGGGCTGCACCCATCCTCTGCACTGCCTCTGTCTATGTCCTGGAAGCCTGCTCTCCCAAAGTCTCTGTGTCTTGTCATGTGAAGAACGGGCACGTTTATGACTTCTGTCCTGCCATGCTACTGTAATGTTCAGTGTTTTATTTGATCTGTCAGCAGAGCCCCACAGGTGGACAGTCAGCATGAGACAGGTTCAGGGGATTTAATGCCCGGCCCAAATTGAAGTTATATAGCATGGCATTGGCAGAGCGGGCCCCTGGGTTCCTGGGCTCCAAACATGCACCTGCACGCACCTAACTGCTTCCCCAGCCTCTGTGACAGCCCAGCTGGTTCCTTCTGACCAGTGTCTCCAACCGGAAGGGACATAGGCAGCTTCTCCTTTTTTCCTGACATCTACTCACATTCTCCTTTATTCCTTGATTCCTCAGGTACCAATATTTATGATTCTTTTTAAAAATGAGAACAGTCCCCTCTGCTGGACTAGAAACAACCTGAAGTCAGGCTCCAGGCAACCTCTGAATGGAACTAAGCAATAAACACCCGGTAAGGACTGAGTTGATTGCGTGGGCACAGCGTGTGTAGAATAACACAGCTGACCGCAGTGGCGCCGAGTGGGGGCTGAAGGATGGATGCCAAGCTATCACTGCTGAGATGAAGACACTCCTTCATAGGAAGAGAGCACACACACACACACACACACACACACACACACACACACACGTGTACACACACAGGCACCCCGTGCACTCATCCTGCGTGCTATGTACACTGTGAAAGTTAGGGTTAAAGAAAACGGCCACTGCCACTTGCCAAGTAGAAGCTGAGCATCCTGCTCCCGGAAGGGCTGTCCCAGAAGTTGACGTAGCAGAGGATGTACACAGCCCCCACCAGCAGGTTGAAGAGCCTCCAGTGGCAGGTGCTATCAACGATGTCACTCTGCTGGGCTACGAGCCAGAAGGTCATCGCCAGCCAGTGCATACCTGCAGAGAGACAGAAGACAGAGAGACGGAGAGAGAGACAGGGGAGACAGGGACAGAGGGAAGCAGAGAGAAGACAGAGAGACAGAGAGAGAGAACAGGGGAGTCAGATAGGGACAGAGGGAGACAGAGAGAGAGATGAGAAAGACAGCCAGGGACAGAGGGAGACAGAGAAAGAGAGCCAAGACAGGAGAGAGAGTGATAGCGACATAGACGGGAGAGAGACAGAGATAGACCAAGAGAGAGAGAGAGAGAGAGAGAGAGAGAGAGAGAGAGAGAGGGAGACAGAGAGACAGGAGAGACAGACAGGGACAGAGGGAGACAGAGAGAGAGGCAGAGAAAGAGGCAAGAGACAGACAGATGGGAGAGGGATTGATAGGGTAGACAGACAGAGAAAGATAGAAAGAGGGAGATAGGAAAGAGACAGAGATGGGGGAGAGAGAGAGACACACAGAGATGGGGAGAGAGACAGATGGAGAGATGGGGAGAGAGAGAGAAGAGAGAGATGCAGGGTCAGAAAGAGACAGACAGATGGAGAGCGAGGCCATGGAAGTCAGGCCCAGTGGCAGGTGGGCAGGGGAGCCCCTAGCGCACAGAAACCAGGTCTAGGAGCTTCATCTCTGCCCGGGCCACTCCTGACCAGAACCTAGAAGAGACATCAAAACCCAGCAGAGGTCCTGCTGTCTGCACACAGATGTGGTGACCTCACCTCCCGCAGGGTACACGACCTTGCTGGGTGTGAACACAGAGACCGGCTCCACCAGCAGGGTCGGAGGGTCGGATGTTACCTACTGATACTTTTCTCAGCCCAAACAGCATTTGAGGAGGTCTTAAAACTGATTTCCTGGTTCTCTGTTTTGGAGCTGTTACTACAGGAGCCCAAACCTCCATACCCGAAGGGAAGGACTCCATGCGGCCCAGGGAACCCTCGTCCCTGCATTTTAAGATGAAAGAGAGCCTTTCGGAGCTCGAGCTGAATGTTACAAGGGGTGAATACAACATACCTTATCTCTTTAGGAGCACAGTTGTTTTTTAAAAAGTGGTCTTTTCTGCCCAAAACTCTATAACATGTTTGCCTGTGGCCGAAGGGCCAAATATTTCTGTGTCTCTAGTTCTCTTAAATAAGAGTACACTGTTCCTTCCTGCAGAGCCCATTAGCTTGTGACCATGGGGACTGCTGTCCTTGGCCTGGACACATAGGCCCCTTTGGACTCCCTGTCATCACCCTTGGTGTCTGTGCCGCTGGGCTGGGCTGTGGCAGGGCTGGGCTCTGTGGAGCCTTGGTGTCTGGGACCCGACAGTGCCCTGGATTTGTGGGGCCAGATCCTGTGGGAGGTGGGGGTGGGCAGTGGCAGCATCGCAGAGGGGTTGTGTGTCTCTGTACTGAGTCAGGGCGGACACTGCACCTCCCTGCTGTTACGTGACAGCTTTTCTGTGGGAACCATTGGCCAGGTGCAGAGCAGCCTCGGAGAACAGTTCTTCCCAGTTACCAGGACTCGGAGGCCACAGCTGAGCATCCCTGGGGGGCCTCCTATCCTGCACCCATGCCTGTGACCAGGGCTGCCCAACCTGTGCAGCAGGTGGGATGCAGCACAAGCTGCAGAGCCAGGTCTGGGCTGTCCTGAAAGGTGGTCTTGTTTCCTGGGCCTGCTGGGAGGTCTGGCTGCCTGGGAGCCGGCTGCTCTGCCAGACCTGGATTCCAGGTGTGAGCAAGGCTGTGTCTTTGTGCTCAGGCCTCCCTGAGGTCAAGGCCTTGTGATGGCAGGGCCCCTGGGAGCCACCCGCAGGGCTCAGCCGGCCCCAGGACAGTGCACATTCTTTTTAAGAAGTTCAGCTGTGACAAGGTTGGTTCCTTGACAGTAGATGACAGGATCGCAAGCGCCACTTACCTCCAACCACTGCAACCCAAACTTGGTAAACTCTGCAGAACAGAACCAGGCTCAGGACTCGGGTCCCCAACATGCCCATCCGCCACAGCTGCTGGCAGAAAAGGGCTGCCCAGGACACAGCCTGGCAGCCCGGCTTCATGGCATCTAAGACACAGGTGTAGGAAACGAGGGCCCAGGACAGCGAGGACCAGGACAGCAGTGCACTGACCCCTGGAAAGGAATCAGAGGACAGGGCACTCCCTGCAGGCTCTAAGCACATAGAAAGGACCATTCCTGAAGCTTCCCTAAGGGACATCGAAGCTCACATGAGAACCTGGCTCAGCAGAAGTGTGTCGCGGTCCAAAGCCCTTGGTGGGGATAAAACAGCTGTGTTTACAGACACACTCCACACACAGGGAAGAAAGCCAGGGCGCCGAGTGCCAAGCCTGGGCGCCTGATTCTCCAGAGTGAAGATCTCGCGGGGGTGGGGAGGGCTTTGCTAACCAGGGTGTATGCTTCGCCCCCTCGGGAGGCCGCTCACCTGCCACTGTGAAGCCAGAGGCCACCCAGATGTAGGTCTGCAGCAGCAGGTGGGGGCTGCTCTGCAGCAGGGCCTCCAGGAGCCGTAGGGCTGCCAGCTCGGCCTCCTGCAGCTGTAGGCGGACTGGGTGGGGGCCCTGCCGTCCTCTCCGAAGGGCAGCCAAGGTGTCCCAGTGCCTGCAGATGAGAAAGGCAGCATGACACCGAGCTGGGTGTGTGGGCGGAGGTGACAGCTGCGTCCTAAGAGAAGTCATGGCATGCTAATGCCTGGGGTCACTGCAGGGCCGGGGGGGGGGGGTCCTCATTGAGGTTCTGACTGACCTTGTGTGCTCAGCAGGGACCCCCCTTTTTCCTGCACAGCTGGAGGGGAGAGGCTAGAAGTCCGGAGGGGGCTCTCTCTGAGCTGAGCCAGAGCTGCTGCAGGGCAAAGGCCCAGGCCAAGAGCCCTGCCTGTGAGGTCTGCAGGTAACCCCGACTGTGCCCCAGAGCCCCTTGGGCCCGGGATGAATTCCCCAGAGGCTAGCTGCACACCCTGGGTTTGACCATCACTGTAGAGCACAGAGGTGAGAACCCCTGTGTTCCTCCCAGGCTGCAGAACTTGTGTGCCCTGGAACTGGCATACAGAGAGCAGGCAGGAAACAAGGGGGCTGGGCCTCCCTGTGGGTGAGAGCCCCACGTAGCTGGAATATAATGGAGACCGTGGGGCCAGCAGAGCCCTGGCCCAGGGAAGGAAGTCAGAGCCCTGAATTTCAGGCATTGGGATTGGATTTTTCTCTTAAAAAATGAGTTTGTGAGAGGCACACATTGTATTTGGGTTATGGGGCAAATAAACATGTGCATAAAGATGTGTGCATGCATGTGCACAGGTATGCGTACATGTAACACTCGTGTGCATACACGTGTATGTTTATATATGTGCATGCGTGCATGCCTGAGTATGCACAGGTGGGAGAGCAGGACCAAGGCTGAGTTAAGACTTTGAGCAGTGGTCACTGAAGGGCTGGTGAAGAAATCTGTGTGTGTGGGGGGGGGGGAGGTGAGAGCGGAGGCAGCAACTACTGGGGGATGGAGACAGGACCCACTGGGCAGGGAGTGAGGGAGCTTGCAGGTGGCCCTGGCACATGGACATGGAGATGCCACTCGTGGAAATAAGTCCCTAAGGGGCGGCAGCCCAGCTGGGGAGAACACGAAGTTCTTCAGAGTGGGGACGGGAGCACAGGGGAGCTGCTCCTCTCTGCATGAGAGGTCCAGGCTCCTGAGGGTGACTGAGGTCACAGGCAGAGGCAACAGCTGTGGCCTAGGGACTGGAAGTGGCTGAAGTGGTGGCTGCAGTAGCAGAGGCCCAAGGACAGGTCTTTGGGGGCTACTCACATCAGCAAGGCACAGAAACAAGGTAGAGACAGGCGAGGAACAAGAGGATGACCACCAAGTGGCCTGGCACACCGGAGGCCAGAGCCCTCGTGGGCATCTGGAAGACAGGGCTGCTCAGGGCCCAAGCACACGAGCTCACCTGGTCTGATGACCTCCCTGTGGTCGGGAAAGGAGCTGGGAAACACTCCTGCCGCCCTCTAATTCCATACACTCACCCCAGAAACCTGTCCAGATGCACTCGCCTTCTGCAAACTGTCACTCTGGGCCCTGTGGCTTTGAGACAGCTTGAGGTCAGTGGAGTGACCCCTTCTGCTGCTGCCTGGCAGCCCTGTTGGGGGAAAAGATGCCAGCCTCACCCAACCCTGAGCCCAAGCTACAGGCACCATTGGGGTCACCTAGAAAAGCTCCTACCAAGTGCTCCCCAAGACCCCGTGCATGGCCATGGAGCTGATCTGTGGCCAGCGCTGCAGTGTCTGGGCAGAAGGCAGGGGGTCTGCTTTAAATGGCCCAGGAAAGAAGCATGGAAAAATGTTTCCCTTTTCCATGATTTGGAATCCTGGGGTGAATTGATTTCTCACTACGTGTTTGAATCCATGATTCCTGACACGAACTTAACATGAAGAAAAAAACACAGGGGACCAGAAGCGTAGTCATGCGCTCTTCCTTTTGCTTGGTAATTTCCTCTTCCTGTATTCCCAGAAGGCTCCTTTGGGTAAAGATACTCTTTCTAGGTACTGATGGTGCTGGGGGTTAACCCTGGGGCCTTTGCACGAGCTACATCTCCAGGCTCCCCCTATTTTCGAAGTCTTGAGACAGGGTCTCAGTGGTCACTCAGGCCAGGCTTGAATTTGTGATCCTCTTGCCTTGGCCTTCTAGGGGCACCACCATACCTGGCTTCCTAATGCATTTTTGGTGGGGTTTGCCTGCCTGCTACAGATGACAGAATGCAGAATGGGAAGATGTTTTCTGGGACCCCAAGGGAGGCGCACAGACCTGCACACAAGGCCCAAGCAGAAGAGAAACACAGACAGGAGGCTTGGGCAGCGCTGGAGAGGGCTGCTGGACTGGCATTGGGAAGTTGGCCGTTTGCAGGGACGAACAGCAGTGTGGGGCAGGAGGTCACAATGGGTAAGTGGGGGCCAGGGAATGGGGGCCACGTCTGGGAGCCAAATGGCCTTCATGGTCTTGGGGCTTCTGCTTCCCAGTGTGAAGCAGCAACTTGGGCCCAGGCCACCAGGGCAGATGCAGAGCTTGGGCAGAGGAGGAAGGCGGGGTGCAGCTGCCAGGTCCCAAGAGGCACCCTGAGCCTGGCCACTGCTCCCACCTCATCCTGGGACCACGGCTGCTTCCTGGGCTCCTGTTACCTCTGCTTCCTGTCGAGATGGGCCCACAGCTCAGCTCTGTCACGGGACTCTGGCCCGTGGGGAGGACCTGAGCTCCTCCGCCCAGGCCCCATCCCCTGGCCACCAGCCGGTCTCCCCTATAGCCCACTCCTCGGAGGACTCTCTCACCTCCTTGCTTCTCCTGGCTCACTCTTCTGGCCATCCCGGTGTGCAGCAGCCCTGTGGTTTGTGGTCTGAGTGCCCTTCCCGCCCGTGGCATCAGGGCTTGGGGGCCCAGATACCCTGGCCACACCCTCAGGACTCCAGGGTGCCCAGCACTGGACCCCAGCCCGAGAGTATTTGGAGGATGACAAGAAGCCTGTTGCTGTGACACAGGTGAAGGTGTGGCTGGAGAATCTGCTTCCTAGCAAGCACCTAGAGGACAGGAAGGTGCTGGACTGTCCACAGGGCAGACCCTCTAGCCCCTACCCACCCTGTCCTGGCAATAACACTTGAGGCTGTTCAGAGGCCCCTTTTCTCCCCACCTCGGGCTCCTCTGGTCACTGAAGCCCACGAAGCCTGCAGAGCTGGGCTGGGTGTGGAGCCTGGGGCACTGAGAGCCACACAGGCTGTCCAGTGACCTGGTCTCTGCAAAGTTACGGTTCTCAGCAAGTATTGCTCTCTCCTTCCTCACAGCTAAAGTAAACCCACACTTTCCCAACGCCTGCAACTCGAGCATAAGACTGCTCTTCCTTGAATACTTGGTGACTCAGCACTAAGTTAGCCAACAGTGCAGCGATCAGCAATGCTGTGTGGTATTTCTCTCTCTCTCTCTCTCTCTCTCTCTCTCTCTCTCTCTCTCTCTCTCTCTCTCACCTTTAACTTCCACTAAAGAAAAATCTCTAAGTCAAGATGCACAGAGAGGTGTCATCCTGTGCTGAGTTTCCAAGAGGATTTACAGGCTTCAAAAAGAGTAAGAAGCTGTGGGTAGGGTACAGCACTAGCGTGGAAAGAAATTCTTGAGCAGAAAAACGTAACTGTCTGTGTTTAAACAAGCTGTCACCAACAAGCTGTCTCTCGAAATAGCCTAACTTAAGATGAATGCAGTTTATATTATCTGAAATCCAAAAAATACATTTTTCAAAAAGTGGTTTAGGTCCAGAAGCCTGTGTGTTACTGACTTTTCTGGTTTTGGTGGATTCTTCCACGTGTCCCGTCAACTCATTAAGTGTGCTCCATAGTCACTGGAAACTCAGCTTCCTGTGAAACACAATTGTGTTGGCACCTCCTGCAGGCATTTATACCAAACTGCAACGTGGGAAACGATTTGCTGTAGAATAATTTGTCAGGCTTTTATTCAGCTGGCAATGCACTAGTTCTAGAATGAGGCGAAGTCACTACCCTCTACTTACTGCTGCTGCTTCTTTTTTTGTGAGTTCCAGGAATCAAACTCAGGACCTCCCACTTGCCAGGCAGGCACTGTGTGCTGAGCTACACCCCCGGCCCTCTATAGCTTCTTGATCTGTGCTGGCTGTCCTGAAGCTAAAAGCCAAATTTGTGGCTTTTTTCTAAAGGCTGCACATTCCAGCTTCATTTTGGACTCTTCCTGTTTCTTCTTTATTATTTTTGGTTTTAAATCTTTTGTCCTTTTACTAAATTACGTGCACAATTTTTTTGGTCACCCTGACTTCTTTTTCACGTTAGGTCTGTATGACCAGTTTTTTTTTTTTTTTTTTTTTCCTAGTTTCTAATTTTCACTTCTCTCTTGGCTTAACTGCATTGATTTTTAAGTGTGTGCCAGGAAGTCTCTGAGGGCTGGTTCACCTGGCTGCTGCCCAGGAAGCCTCTCAAGCAGATCCATGGATTAAGCCTCTTTCTGCTCTTGGGGAGGCTGGTACACTCCTGCACAGGCTGTCTGCCTCCAGGACCCACCCTCTGGGACCACCTTGGCCCAAAACAGTAGATAGCTATGGTCCTTCTGATTTTTTAGAGGGGCGGTGGTCAGAGAGAGGTCCCCCTGGAGTTGGAGCTGGAGCCACAGGGTCTGGCTTGGGGAAACTGGTAAAGCCAGATGCAATCCTGGTGCCTGATTCTTGCTAGGGACACCCCTGAGGGACCCCAGCAAACTCGAGAAGCCATTTAGTATCTTTCTTGGAAGCCCCATCCACCGCCCTGACAGCACCCGTGGGCTGGTCCCTGGCCCCTGGCCCCTGACTCTGGCCAGAGGTCCTCAGGTACTTGCCAAAGTGCAAGGCACAGCCTGGGGCAGACAGCAGCCCTTGACAGAGCTCCCTGGACACCCCAGAATCCTATCTGTGCTTTAATAGAACTGGGCCACAGGCCTCCCTGACTGAAGCCCCAGATTCTTCTCTTTAAAAAATATTCCCTTCAACCCGGTGGGTTTGGGGTGGCTGAGGGCTGGAAGGTGCCCTTCGGGTGACCACTACCTCGCCTGTGGAGGCAGCCCTGGGACTGTAGCTAACAGTGGCACTGGACCCACCCTGGCTGCTGTTCTGTGGTGAAAGAGCTGGCCCTGGCTCTCGTCTTTCTGAGACAAAGGCTCACGGCAGATGCCACTGGACCGCCTAACTTGTCAGGAGTTAAGGCCTCCCTCTCCCACTGAGGTGACAGGTGTGTAAACAGAGCTGCTCTAAAGCTGAAGAGCAGATGAAAAGAACAGCGAACCAGAAGCTGGATGAAGACAAGAAAAAGCTTTTGGAAGACATAGGTACATCCAGAAAAGCACTGGAAGCTAGAGATGTTTCAGGAAGAGGGTGGGACCGGGAGGCAGAGCAGGACGTGGCCCTGAACCTCCTGGCCCGGGGACCAGGTGTCCATGCCCAGTGGATGCCTCGCACTGCGCTGCTCTTACCGCTTCCAGAGGCCAAGCTGCAGGAGGTGGGGCAGCACCAGCCAGTGCCCACTCTGCTGCCCATCAGCCCTGAACCACAGGTAGCTCAGGCCCTGGACCAGGAGGCCTGGCAGGAGGACAGAGAGGGCCAGCCACGCCCAGAGGAGCTCTCCTGTGGCAAAGAAGTACGCCACGCTGCAGAGGCCTGGGGGAAAAGAGATGAGGTTAGAGAAGCTCGGGGAGGCTGGGTTCCGTGCTGTCTGTGTTAGGACGATCTGACTTCCCGAAGGCCTTCCAGGGTGGGGAGGCAGCGCCCTTTCCATGGTGGAGACCAGTGCCCAGGAAGCAGGAGCTTCGCAGCCTGGAGCCACCTCACTGTCCGCAGGGGCCAGGGACTGGTTCCCCTTTCCCTTTCTGAGGCACTTGGGTGACAGCCACACCCTTCAGAGACCACTCAGGTGCTCACCCTCCTTCCTCTCCACTGTCAAAAGCCCCCGACCTCTGCCTCCTGACAACCTCATGCCATCCATGTGGCCCCACAGGGTCCACCAGACCTCTGAGTGCCACTTGTGGGAATATCAGCCCTGCTTCCCTGAGCTCTCCTGGGTTCCTGTGTCACCTGGCCTGACCAACTATCTCAATAAAAAGCAGAAACAAAACCTTACCAGCAACACAGTGTCTTAACTACGGGGAAGACACTGCTGGACCCAGCTAAGGCCAAGAGCCTGCTGCAAGGGGACGGCAGAGAAGCACTGGGCTTTCCTGAGGACCGCTGGCTGTTGTGACAAGTGTTCCCCAAGACCAGGAGTGAAGTGGGGGTACCCTCAACACTCAGAGCAATTAGACAAGAGTTGGAAATAAAATCCAAACAAATAGCAACAGAGGAAGTCCAGTTATCTCCATTTGCTGGTGATATGCTTCTGTGCATAGAAAACCCTAAAACTTCCATCAAAAGACTGTTGGAGCTGATAAGCTTGCTAGGAGCAAGATATGAAATTAATATACAAAATTAATTAGCTTTTTTATATAGCACAAGTGAACTCACCCCTTCACAGCACACATGCTTGTGCACATAGTATGCACACACATGCACACCAGGAATAAACCAACTAAAGATATGAAAGACCTTTACAAAGAAAATTACAAAACTCAAAGGACACTGAAGATCAGAAGGTGGGAAGACCTCTCCTGTTCATGAATCGGGACAATTAACCTTGGGAACATAGCTGGAGTGGCTGCTTGTGCCAGCAATCCCAGCTGCCGTAGAAGGATCACCAAGTTTGCAGCTCACCTTGGCAATCTGGGGAGACCCTGTCTCCAGATGAAATTTCAGGATGTAGCTCAGTGGTAGACAGCACTTACCCAGCATGCACTAGGCTTGGGTTCAATCTTCAGCACTGGGAAGGGGTGATAAAATAGCCACACTACCCAAAGTGATCTATTTCCAGTGGTCTTCACAGAGCGAGAAAAAACTTAAAACTCATACGGAAGCGCAAAGATGCTGAGCACCCACAGCAGCCCTGACAAAAAGCTCAACCCTAGAGGCATCGCAATCAGAATATGTGACAGTGCCGTGGTAATGAAAGCAGCACTGTACTGGCACAAAAATAGTCAACAGACCAGCTGGACACATCCTGATGAGGCGGAGGACTCCCAAACAAATGCATGCATCTTTAGCCTCTGACTCCTGACAAGTTGCCCAAAACATGACACTGGAGAAAGGACAGCCACTTCAAAGGTGCTGCGCAAACTCGATATTCAAATGCAGAAGACTGAAACTGGACCCCTACTTCTTACCCTGTACAAAAATCAATTCAAAACTGATCAAAGATCTTAATACCTGGAGCCCTTAGACTATCAGAGGAAAGCAGAAGGAGCAGGGGACACGGGGACAGCAGTGACTCCCCAGGTAGAACTCCAACAGCTCAGGAGACAGGAGCAAGGACTGACCAGACTCAATCCAGGCAGGACGCTTCCGCACGGCCGACAGAGCGGGCACTGGCCGAAGAAAGGAGATAGTCCTGGCCAGCTGGCTTTCTCAGATGACCAGTATCCGAATATATAAAGGTCCCCAAAACTTAACAGCAAATCCCAAATAATTCAGTAATAAACGGGCAAACAATTTGAATATACTTCTCAAGAGAAGAACATATCGCCACTACAGCTATGAAAAACTGCTCACTGTCTCTGGGCAACAGGGAACTGCAAATCCCATTCACAATGAGGGACCACCTCATGGGTTCCAGAAGGGTTACTGGGGACAAAAAAGGAACAGGGGCTGATGGGGATGAGAGACAGGGAGCCCTTCTCCCTCACTGGCAGGAATGTCAGCACAGCCACAGTGCCACACAGTACGGAGGGGCCTCAAAAACTAAAAGTAGGACTCCCCTCAAGCTGCAAGGTCCCAGGCCGGACCCACAGCCAAACAGGGACACGGCCGCACCCGTGTGTAACCGTGGCACTGTTCACAGCAGCGCAACCAGCCAAGTGGCCCATTGACCGATGAGCGAGCATAGAAAATGTAAACACACCCGGCGGAAAAAGACCCAGCCACAAAGAATGGAACCCTGCCATCACAGGAAGACAGATGGAACCAGAGAACAGTGAGCCAGACACAGAAAAACAGTTGTCACAGGTTTTCTCTCAGACGTGGCAAAAAAGAAAAAAAGATGTCTGGAAGTGGAAAAGCACGGTTATAGTTCCCAGAGGGGCCGGCGAGGATGAGGGAGTAGCGACAGGGCAGGCGCGACCGATTTACTGTGCGGACCTGTGCGCAAATGTCACGGTTAGGCAGGTCCATTAATTTAGAATTAAATTTAAGTGGAGGAAAATAAAGGAGCCGTGGCTTGCAGACAGCACGTGCCAGTGAATACCTAGCAGCTGGGCTGTGCTCAGACCATGTGAGCCTTCCACCGGGGAAGCTGGGTAGGGAAGCGGTGGGGTTTTCCAGGGTTCCCCCTTAGGGAGAGGCTCTGGGGCTAGGAACCCTGCGGGGTACCCCTCATGTCCCCCGTCGCGCGAGTCACAGCGAGTCCTAGCGGGCTGCCTTGGGGTGCCAGTGGCCATGGCTTCGCTGGTCTCCGGAACCCCTTTCTTGGCTGTGATTTGACTTTTTTGGTGTCAGCGTTTAAAGTGGACGCGTTGGCATGGGCTGGGAACTGGGCGGGTCCCGCTGTGCGGGGGGCCCAGTCAGGTTTCCTCCGCGCCCGCAGAGTCCCCGGGGCGCGCTACTGGACGCCGCGTTCCAGCCCGACCCCGCCCAGCTAGAGGCGGGCAGCCGAGCTAGCGGAAGTGGGCGGAGGCACCGGCCCCGCGCGGAAAGTTACGAGTTCAAACGAGGAAGGCGCGAAAAGGCTGCTGCGTTGCCGCTCCTCCGCTCCGGCTCCGCCTGGCGCGGACCCAGCAGGCCTATACCCCAAAGGGAGCTCCTGCTCTCCGGAACCCCTCCTGCAGCAGCCTTGCGGCTGGCAAGCTGCCTCTCAGGCCTCGGGGACCCTCCTGGCCGGCGAGAGGCAGAGAAAGCCATCTGCACCCCAACCTGCGTGCAAGGCGCCTGGGGAGCGCGGAATGCACGGCTTCCCAGGGGAGTGAGGTGGGAGCCCTGTCCCAGTGGAGAGTCATGCAGTGGCAGGGGAAGCCTCACATCCTCGGGAAAGTCATGCATCCCCGGGGATCGCGCACGGGCGGGAAAGGAGAAGAGTAGAGAAGCATGCAGATAGCCGCACAGGTTCGTGCACCCACGATCGGCGGGCAGAGAGGATAGTCGCCTCGCGGGCACCAGGTCGCAGTGCGGGGCGCAGGCTGAGCCGGCAAGGGTGGCGTGTGCCCCCGGGGCGCAGGGCTGTGGAAAGAATGGAGGGGTGCGCGCTCGCAGGTGCCAGCCTCCGCCGCCCCACACTCACGCGCGCTCTGCTCGGTCGCTTGCAGCAGGGCGGACAGCCCCAGGAGACGCGCGTGCATCCTTCGCGCCCCGCCGCTGTTGCCCGCCCCTTCCCCTTAAGGCCGCCCCCAGTCGGGGAGGTTTCCGGCCGGAGCCAGCGGCCGCGGCTTAGTTGCAGGGCCCTTGGCGCGCTGGGTCGAGTTCCAGTGGGGGCCAAGTGGCTGGGGGTCGTGGGTGGGGAGAGGGGGGACTGGTTCCAGGGGAGGCGAGTGACCTGCGCCTGCCGGCCGGTGCTCAGCACCATGACTGGAACGGATTAGTCGCTTGGTGGTTATTGTGGTCACTGCCCTGCGGTGTGCGCCTAACTGTGCGGGCGAATGCGAAATAGGAAGGGAGTGGGATTAAAGTCTTTAATTGGATCTTTTGAAATCTTACAATTATGTGGCCAGAAAAATCCAGGGCGTGCTGAGGGCCTCTCACCACAAATCCCTTCCAACCCGAACCCCTAAAAAAAAACATGCTTTTCCAGATGTTCCTGAGGGATTCCTAGGCACCAAAGTAGAACTGCTTGGGAAACTTCGTCCTGACATTTGTTGGAATTATAAGGCAGGCTCTACTGGGGACTGTGGCTGCAGGTGATACCAGGACATTATGTCCCTTGCAGAAATGCAGTGGGGTTTGCAGTTGTGTGGAGATAGGGCTCAACTTTCAGGAGGAGGAAAGGCAGAGGCTGAGGACAGAGAAGCAGGAGGGGCAGGAGAATGGAAAGTTACTGGGGGCTGAGGAACCTCCACAAAACGTGGGAACCCAGGGGTTTGGTCTGAGTTAGGGAGAGCTCAGACACCCAGGGTAGGGGATTCTGGTTAAGCTCATCTAGCAGAGAGCTCACAGGATCTGATGACAAGGTGTGGCTGGAAGAGTCTTTCTGTCATAGCTTGTCTGTTTCTGTCTCACACATCTCTAATTTTTTAAAACTGGTTTTTGAAGACAGTCTGGCAATTTAGTCCAGGATGGCCTCGAACTCTCCGTCCTCTTCAGACCTGGGCCACTGTGCCAGGCTGCTGTTTTGTTTTCTGTTGAAGGAAGGGATGCTATCCAGGCCTGGCAATGGTGGAGTTGGGTCTTTAGCTTGGGAAGGCATTGAGCTAACAGTTCTTCCTCTTCAGAGTTCCATGGAAGAGGAGTGTCAGAGGCTGGCATTGAACCAAAGGAGTTTTCCACTTCCTGTGAAATCTTACTGCATGGATCACTATTTGCTCCCTCTGTACTATGAAAGCCTGCAGAGAAACCTATGGAGGTGGAGATTCCCTACTTCAAGGAGGAAGGTCTGGGTCAGAGTGGGCTTCCAAAGGGAATAGACCTGTGAAACCCATCCTGCTGGGTCCCCACTTACTGAAACAAAACCAGGCAGTCAGACAAACACCTTCAGATCTTCCCTCCAGCTTCTATATGACTCTGATACATTCTTTTATTGTCTCGAAGGCCTTCGTAAGTTTTGTGTTGGGTAGTCAACTCATTTCTGATTTTACCACTGGGACTTTGAATTCCAGTCTTCCAGATCCCCCCTCATTCAGATGATTGGACCCTCCCGAAGCTTCAGTTCTCCTCTCTTAGAACCAACATGGAGGTCCAGTTTCGAATCCTCCTGTCCTGCTCCTTCTGTCTAACCGAATCTCCTTTGTATGGACTTCCAACATCTCAGGTGTCTTTCTCTGGTTTTCTCATTAAAAGCTGAAGTTTGCACTTCATGAATGTTTGGAGGCGGTTCTGTTGTGTTCCAGAATGTAAACATTCCAGAACAACTGAATATTCTTGAGCAACTGAGTCTGGATAC